AACAAAAAAAAAAAAATGTATAATAATAAAAGCATTATTTTCGTAGATCTTCCTGTTTTTCCTACGGTTTTATTCGGTTTTGCTCAGTTATTAAAAAAACTACACAGGCATAAAAAAAACAACTTCTAAGAATCTAAAATTTAAAATAACGAATTGGTAACGTCGTAAATTTAGTAGTTATATTTTTACATTTTTTTTCCGGTTTTTCCTAATTATAATAAAAAATTCTTGGGAAATCGAAAAACAAACTATATGCATAAACTAGATTTAAAATAATATAAAAGCTCTCTTATAATTTTTGATTGGGGCAAAATTTCTTGTAAAAAATCAAAATCAAAAATATTGAAATTTAATAATCACGAGAATATAAATAACGGACTTTGCGTATTTTATAAATTCGCGTGATTTTTATTACGGAATTACCGTGTCACGTGAAATACGTGAATATGCAGCATTAATATCCGTGTAACCGTGATACACGTATGCAATTTATACAGGTGTTCTATTGAGACCTCTAGTAAAAACTAGTATTCGAGTATATATCATTAATACATTTCAAGGAAAATCCCTGTATTGTAAGGAGCGAAAGTAACTTGTATTGAGTTGTAGAATATAATAATAACATCATGTATTTTGTATATAATTAACAGTTTTCCAACTATCTACCTAAATAGTAAAACCGTAAGATGTATATTATGATAACATAATAACAAAGTTCTATACATGTAATAAACCATCGAGTAAAGTTTATTTAGTTAAGAAAATAGTGAATTGCATAGTATACGTAATTAGGTATGTAGGTGTTTTACAATAATTTTCTTAAGGGCATTGATGACAGTACAACAATGTAGTAACGAGGAGAAGAGTATGCAATAGAGGCACTTCCCTCAACTTATTAAAACAAAAGACAACTTTGTCCTATCGACTCCAGACCAATTTCAAAATTTAGAAACCTTTTAGTACATCAACAATTTTAAATGCCACCGCTAAAAAATTTCATCCTAGGTGTGGATTTATATCGCCTACTCCTTGAGCCGGGCCTGGTTGTAGGTAAAAAATTAGGAAGGTAGAGGGAAAATTAAATGTATATCTCTAAGCAAAGACTAATCTTCACGAAAAACGATTTTAAGGGGAGTTTCATTATGGCAAAATAATTGGAAAAAATCGAAAAAAATATTATAAGTAAAATCGCAAATATTTACGGCACGCCGTGATATTACCGATTTAATTTTTTTAAATTTTTGCAAGCTTTGTGTTTTACAAAGAATATTGCTCCAATAAAAAAACAACAAGATATATTTTTGTCGCCTTTTTAATTTTATTGATTAATAAGAAGGTCATTTTTAGATTTTCCACGTAGTTTTAATAATAGTTAGGAAATATTGCAAAAAAAAGTAGAGAGAACGGGCAAACTTACAAAAATAATGCTTAATTTTAGATTCCGAGCGTAGCGTGGGGCTATTGGTTTTACTAAGACGTTTATTACGTTTTTTCTTTGTTCTAATCTGTGGACACGTTTTTCTTAATAAACTTGCTCCAATTTTCACGTATAGCAACTTTTTTGAAAACTTAAGGTTATTTAGATTGTACTTTAAAGAGGTCATTATTTGATTTTCGACGCCAACTTTTCAATGAAAGCACTTAAATGGGAAAAAACGTAGGAAAACTTACAGTTTCACAACTTCATTATTTTATAAAAACACGGACGACGTTCTCCACCAGAAATAATGATTTAATCGAAAAGTCACAAAACACCTTTTTGGTTAACTTTTTGATTTAGTTCCTTACGGTATCATGGCAAAAACTTTTAAGCCACTTTTGAGCTTTTAAAGAATTTAAATGTTTAGTACTTTTTTTGCTGTAATTCGGGTATAAAAACACGTAGAGACTTGAAATTTGGTAATAACAATTATACTAGATATACCTAGATGTGGTGAAATTTCCAGAATCATCAGACGACATTTTTTCCCTTTTCTAATTTTTTTGCAAAGGTACTTTTTTTTTCCTAGAAAACTTGCTCCGATGTATAAGTGTAGCACCTTTTCTGAAAGTCAATTTTATTTACTTGGTAAATAAATTTATCAAAAAATGATTTTTTTTAAGTATAAACCCAGTCAAATTTTCATTCAGAAAAAATGCTGCACTTAAAACCAGGACAAACTTTTTTACAAAAGCTGTTCACAGAAAAAAAAATCAGAAAGTAAACCTTGTTTTAAAACAATACATTCCTCGCTACGTTCAGAATCTAGATTGTAAATGTCAAAAAAGTAAAGATAACTTACAATTCTTAATAAGTGAACATTTGTAATGCAACAATTTTATTTAAACATAAATGCATAAAATAGCTAATTAAAATTTTATAAAAAAAAAAAAAATTAAATTATGGAAAAGTCAAACACCAAAATAATTATTAAAAAAAAAATTTTAAAAATTTTAAATATTGACTAGTATTAGACTAATGATTGCATTTGTTTGCATATATCCCTTGTTTTTTGTTTATAAACGTTTTAAGTTCAAAAAGAATATAAATCGTAAAAATTACGGCATTTTTATTCATGTACATTGTACAACCAAACTTTTCGCTGAATCAAGTTCATTAATATGCAGATTTAAATTTAATGACTATGTATCCTACCTTCCCAACTTGTGACATATACACTAGCAGTATCAGCTTTTTTAAAATTATTAATGTTTTAACACCTTCATATTATATATTGTAATAAAAATCTTTCATAATTCTTAATTTGTTCAAAAAATAGTTGCGTAATTTGTTTTTTTTTTTTTTTTTATTTCACAATCGATCTTTACATATTTATAATACGCAGTATTGTGAAAATACAATTTAAAGTAACTTCGTTAATTTTTTATTTAAATTAAAATAATTTATACCTAACCTACCTACATAGCATAGGTAGAGTAAAAATAATTTAAATATACATAGTCAGATATTAACTATTTTAAAGTTTCAAAAAGTTATTAAATTTAATTGTATCTTCTAAAACGTATAATAATAATAATTAAAATTTAATTAACACGAAATGTTAAATTTAAAAGCAAAATAGGACGGTTTGTGGTATACCTTTATATGAATGAAGCAAAATAATAAAAAGTAACTGGTAAAAGGTTTTCGATATTCTACTACACGAAGTATTCGATAAACAATATGATCATTATGATGAAACCAAACAGAATGCTGGTCGGTGATAATTAAATTATTTTTCGTAGGAGGGGAGGAGCCCGATTATTGTATCATTTTTTTTAGCAATTATTATTATTCCCCTGGTTTTTCGCTTCTGGTTTCGGCACTGTAATTGCCGTTTCCATAGCAAAACTATTTTTTAACTATATCCCTCGACGTTTGTGGTAAAATTGTATTTAAGACCAGATGAAAGTATTGATAACGAAAAATTACTAAAAATACCATATTGATGGTACCTTTGCAGTTAAATTATTTTTTTTTAAAACTTTTTATAATTGTAGTAATGTAATAGTAGTGTTTCAAGTTCGAAAATTATTATAGAAATGCATCTTTATTTATATTCTTGAATTTTATAAGTCCAACAAAAACCCTTCGTTAACTACGTGTAAAAACCTTGCTAAGAAAAGTAAAAACTCAAGTTAGAAAAGTTGTGATATCAAAGAGGGGCTAAGTTATTTCTTAAATTTATTAGTATAGAAATTGTTTATAATTGTTTGTATTTGATGAAATGCGATAATTTAATACAAATAATTTAACATAGTTTGGTGGCTACTAATATTTACGACTACAATAGAGATACAATGTCGACATGAATATTTATATCCCCATTTTATAATTTATAATATTACCATAATTCTATTTAAGTACATACTATGAATAGCCTCCAAACTAAGTTAAATTATTTGTATTAAACTACACTTCCACAAATACAAACAATTATAAACAATTTCCATACTAATAAATTTAAGAAAATTACTTAGGTTCTTTTTGATATCACAAATTTTGGATATAGTTAACCAACGTTTTTTTTATCAAGTGAAAATTTATGGAGACGAAATATCTATGTTGTTTTATGGACTGAGCAAAGGAATATATGATGTATAGTTATGAATATACTTATGATTGTTGTTGGAAAATGATACTATAGTAATACAATGATAAAATAAATAAACAAAAATGTTTTTATTCATCGCAAACAGGTGATAACAACGCGTATAACATACGAGGTGTGGCTATTAAACAACGAGACTGCTCGCCTAGAGGACGCCTTAGATGGGTAGTGAAAAAATCGAGTAATGCGTTGGGTATCTAGTTATCTTATCTATGCACGTACCAAACCACGTTTTCGTCACTATTATAGTATTTGTGCAGTAGTGGTTTGAAACGAACGTGTTTTTTTCTCGTGCCGAAAACCATGTGTGACGAAAAACAGGAGCAACGTATCAATCTCAAATTTCTCGTTAAATTGAAAAAAACTCCGACCGAGTGCTATAAATTGTTGCAAAAGACCTATGGAGGCAATTCTCTATCTCGTGCGCGTGTTTTTGAATAGCGCTTCAGTGAGGGTCGAGAGAGCACTGAAGATGACCAGCGCCCAGGTCGTCCTGTCACTGTTTCAACTCCGGAAACAGTGACCAAAATCAGCCAAATTGTGCGTGCAGATCGTCGAATGAGCATCCGGATGATTGCCGAGGCTGTAAACGCCGATAAAGAAACGGTTAGAAAAATTTTACATGAGGAATTACATATGACAAAAGTCTGTGCGAAGTTGGTGCCAAAAAACCTGACTCCTGACCAAAAGTTCTTGCGTCAACAGGTCTGCTCAGATTTCCTTAAAAAGTTAAAAGAAGATCCCGGACTAATGAAACCATCATAACTTGCGACGAAACATGGATTTTTCAATACGATGTTGAAACAAAGCGATAATCGATGGAAGACGGCCAGGTCGAGAGTGCACCGGAATCCAATTCAGTCGTAATCCAAATTCAAAACCGTTTTCTTCGATATCAACGGCATCGTGATGACTGAATGGGTTCCAGAGGGTCAGACTGTCAACCAGGTTTACTATTTATCAGTTTTGGCAACACTGCGAGAAAGAGTTCGTAAGAAACGGCCCGAGTTGTGGAAGAACAACTCGTGGATTTTGCACCAGGACAACGCACCTGCCCATAACGCGCTATCTGTGAAGCAGTATTTGGCCGGTAAGCGCACTCCAGTGCTCAAACACGCGCCGTACTCGCCAGATTTGGCACCGTGCGACTTTTTTTTGTTTCCAAAGATAAAATCTGCTTTGAAAGGGACCCGATTTGAGTCGATGGAAGCTGTAAAGCAAAAAACGGCAGAGCTCCTAAAGGCCCTCACCAAAGAAGACTTCCAGCACTGCTTTGATCAATGGAAAAAACGTATGGAAAGGTGTGTGGCGAGGGGAGGGGAGTATATTGAAGGGGAGCATTTGAATGTAGAATAATTTTTAAAATAAAACACTTTTTCGTAACCAGTCTCATTATTTAATAGCCACACCTCATATATGTTGTTGAAAAAAATAATGTTTCGAATAAAAACTATGCTAATAATTATGCATATTGCTTAGGATATCATCATCCAATAAACTTGAAATTTACAAAAGTATCATCTTCTTAACATACTGATCAACTTGTGTAAATTTCAAAACATTCAGTTCATTAGTTTAGGCCACAAAGAAATCGGACCATTTGTCGTAAAATTACACAGGTTAAATAAGAGTTGGCCATCTAGTATAATATACTGCGTTCGACGCACGAGCTCTTTTTATTTACTTAACTCTGCGCTGCGACGCGGTGCTAGATATTGGTTATCTAACTACTTTGCATTAAATAAATATATTCATTATCGTAATGAGCATATTATACTAAATATAAATTTAAAGTTATTTTAATGTGAACATATATTTTACAGTAAATTCATTTGTGTACTTAATTTTTTATTATTCAACTTGCAGTAAAATCTATAAATATAATTTTTTTGAATTATAAATTAGTATATGATTTTTAAGTTTTTTCAGTAAACCTAAAGAATTAAGAAACTTGTCAATAAATTTAACGAATTTTATAATTTACAATTTGCATTTTATTCGTGAAAATAGAATGTTTTAACTTACGAATAAAAACATCAGTTGTCCATGTCAACAACTATATATATAAACACTTCTGACTTCTAGAACTAACTAAGATGTTTGGATTGCATTCATACGTGATCATTCATTCCAATCTTACAGACTTGTAAGATTCCATTTAGCCACTCAATTATCTGATCCTACTATTAACATTTACACTGACTCGTTCAGTGTTCTTAACAATCTTAGGCATAACCAGAATTCGTGTACCCTAGCAATTAAAATGAGCAACATCGTTTTAAAGGATAAAAATAACATCCAGTTTATATGGATACAAGTCTATTGTAGATTTGATGGCAATGAGAAGCCCGACAAAGCAGCGCGGTAAGCTCTCAATAACCTCATGCCGGAAATACGCTCCTAAAGATGTATAAAAGTTGGTAATTTTTTTTTTATTTATATTTATTTATTAAATAACTAGAATTTTATTATTTTTTAATACTTACTCGACGGAAAAGTTAATAATTTTCTGAATAGTTATGGATTAGGTATTTATTTTAATCTCATTTGAGGAAATAACTAATTATTATCCCATTGTGTAAATTAATTGTCGTATGATAATTTTCTTTCAGACATATTTAAATGGCAAACCTTTATTTATCACAATCACCAGAAGTATCAAAGTAAAAATATGAAGGTATTTTAAAAATAACGCTATTTTCAAATCAATTATGGTAAACAATAAAACTATCAAAAGGTAATTTAATATAAAATAATATTGTTAACAAGGCAGTTTTATAAACCGATCTACCCAGCTTTTTTTATGCACTTTTTTTTGCTATATACATAATTATGAACTTATAATAATAAAATAAAATTTAATTTTGTATGTACAACAAAAAATACTTAATGTTTTTAAGAACTCTATACAGTAGTACAATATGATTTAAATATAATAAAAGTTGAACACCAGCAATATTTCTATACGATATAAGAATATAAAACCAGTGAGCGAGTATATAAAGTATTTGGTTACAGGCTGTAGTAGGCCTACAGCTCTTTTACTTTAGAACTACAGTCATTTTTATAATATAGAAACACAATTTGTTTAAAAGTTAACATAAGACAAGACAACTTAATATTTGATCGTATACATTTTACAGACGAGTTCAAAGTGTGTAAGATAAAAATGCCAAACGACATAAGTAGATAAACAAGGTATATACCTGAATATTTATTTATCTACATATCGTTTAAAACTGTTTACTGACTTTTTCTTTTAGAATTGTCAAAATTCAATAAAATAAAAATATACCTAGATATCCGGGAAAATACATTTCAATTTTAATGCACACCCTATGAGATAAAAAATATTCTAAATTAATTATTTTTATTTTTTTAATTGGTGAGACTATAAAAATATTTTTGTTTCTCTATAGTACGTCTGGATTAGGTACTTATAATAGTATCTCAATAACGAAGTTATAAAATATCATATTTAAACAAAATATATTGACTTAATACAATTATTATTACTACTATTTTAGCATTCTTTAAGCAGTTTTTATAGGCATTTTTTTGCCAAATTATTATTATCAATACAGAGAGACCGGATATTAAACGCTCACCACGCTCTATTCACCTCGGCGCAGTTGGGTATGGTGTGATGCGATTGTATTATAATTTTGAACGTAATAAAATAATTAAATTTTAAAAACGATTACAAATGGTATACCGTATTATAACATTTAAAAGTTCGCTTGTATTTTTTATGTTTTTTTGGGGGGGCAATTCCAGAGCACGCAATTGGGAGGTCTAAAAATGCAATTATATATGATGATGGACTCCATTTAAATTGTATTTAAAATTCGATAATGTCATGGCGTATAGAAATTATTAAAACAAAAACACATAACTGATGAGTGGCTCACATAAAAAACAAAACTACCACTTAAAGTTCGAATAAAAGTTTGTCAGGTAGCAAACGCAAAATGTTTAACTTATTATACAAATTGATCGACATTGTGTAAAACACTCAGTAACTTGGAAAATATTAACTCTTTTTGCAATTCGATTTTTAGAATCTAAACATTAATCATCTCTAAAAACATAAATCTATACAAATTATCTTTGTAATCTTATTTTTAAGAAGTGAAACTATTGATCACTTTTGACTTTCAAATAGCAAGCGGTATATATTTCGTTGATAGGTTGGTAGAAATTTAAAAGCAACAAAATATAATTAAATTATAATTTCATCTTTTCATGAAAATTTTAATATTGGTTGCCATTTAAAATTTAAAATGGATCGTTTATGTAACAGTTTAAGCTACTTGTATCTTAAATTTTCTAAAAAAATAAATTCCGAAAAAGTGAATACATTCTGATAAAATAAGTGTCTTCCGTTATGTTGATCTCCCTAGATGTATTAATTAAATATTAACCACCACTTTCAAATAGCTAAGCACGTGTTTGTAATTAACAATTATAATCAAAAATATTTAAATTTTAAATGTTATACTCTGTTTACTTTTTCACTGTTAAATAAATAAAAACAAAATAATAATGAAGTCGTTGTATACCTTGAATAAAATATGCAATCAATCATTGGATAAAAAAAAATGTTTGATACGTTAGTTTTATTATTAATGATACAATTTTTTTTTTTCGATTGTTTTTTATTTAAAATAATAACTGAACATTGAATTTAACGACCTATCTATTTGTTAAATTATTTATATAAACTATTACATATTTATATTATTTTACAATTGCATGCATACATACGTAATTTATGAATAAAAATGATTATAAAACATACTTCGTACCACGAGTGTGCAGCTATATACATGCTATTGTACACAAAATAGGGTGAATCACCCTATTTTTTTGTTTTAATTTTGTGTATATTCAAATTCTTATTTTTGGAATTTTTAAGTGTATTTAATTTCAATATTTTCGTATACTTAGATTTTTCACGACATTTAAGGAGTATTATGTTGCGGTACCAACTTTGATTTTTCAAATGCGAACCTATAATAAAAATTCCATAAATAGATGGAGTATTAGTTAAAATAAATTTTAGTATCAAAATGTTTGATTTCCATTGAATCGTTAACTAGATATTCGATTTTTAAGTAACGGTAGGAGGAGAGTAGTGGAGTATCATTTATGTGGCGGAACGGCGCGCGGCGTTTTAATAGTACTCTACTACTCTCCTCCTACCATAACTTAAAAGACGAACATCTCGTCAAAGGTTCAACGGAAATCAAACATTCTGACATTAAAATGTATTTAAAATAATACACCGTCTGTCAATGGAATTTTTAATATAGGTTCTCATTTGAAAAATCAAATTTGGCATCGTCATAGGATACTCCTTAAATGTTTTGAAAAATACAAATATTTGAAAATATTGGCTTTAAGACACTTCCAAATTCCAAAAATCAGAATTTGAATGTACGCAAAATTAACCCAAATAAATGGTGTAAACACGCTTCAGTGAATTATCCTGTGTACAGAAAATCGGGAATGTACTATAGTAGAATATAAAAGATAATTTAATTTGTATCTGTAAAACTGTAAGCAACAATAAATAACTGCTAAAACAAACTGATTCTGTGCAAAGTTACGTCAAGCATATTTCGATAATCTAAAACTGAATATTGTGTTAATTTATTTTACTAAATAGATTACAATCGCCTATTTTTCGTTTTAAATTATAAGGCATTTTTACTGTTGCTGGGCCAAATAAATTGTTTTTCCATAAATGGAAAAATAGAAATGAACTAAAAAAAAGCTGTGATTTTTAAGATTTTTCTTTAAATTTAGACTTTAACATTTGTAATAAAAATTACTAAATTACGATCGACTATTTAATTTTTTTTTTTTTTTTGATCACTAAAGAGTAGAACTTAAAATGAATATTGTAACTAATTTTTAAGCATTTATGAAAACAAAAAAAAGAAAATCTTATGAAAGTATTTATGATCTTCGTCGATCGGCTCAGAACTTATTCGAATCATTTTGTTCCGGAGTAGTTCTGGTACCTATATGGGTGTGATGTGATACGAGTGTTTTTTAGGTACGAAATTAAAAGATTTTTATGTATTTTTTCCATATAAGCAAGACACATGAAACCTAACCTAACCTTTGACGTATCTATGCACTGCGGCGTAACGGCCGTAGCGTCCCCATGAGGATCGCATGCCCATCGGGAAATCGGCGAAACGCCAAGGTTTCGCATATAATATCCATGTAACCCCCGTAGACCTTAAACCGTAAAAATCAAATTATCATATCAAAAAGTAAAACTGCAACTGAAATATGTATATGTGTATCATGTATATATATATATATATATATAAGTATTTTTA